GTTATCTCTCCTTTATCCTTTCCCTCATTTTCCTCTTTCCGCCTCTTCTCAGAATTCAGCAGGTTTTCTCTCTCCACCTCGTTTTCTCGTTTCTTCTTGACCTTTGTCCTTACATCGTCCTTGTCCCATTCTGCATTCTTTGCAGTCAATTTCTCCACAAGCTGTTTCAATTCAGCAATTCCTTTTTTTATCTCTACTTTAGTATTCGGGTTCGCCCTCACAAGTTCCTCTAGTGCTTTCCCTTGCCTTTGTAGCTTCCTTATAATTGTCCCCCTTTCCTTTGTTGGATCGTAATCATCTCCGCTCTCCCTTCTCCTCTTTTTCTTCTCAATCGTAACTCTTATTGCCTCCGTGCTTTCTCTAGCGATTTCGCCGTCGGACACGCTTACTTCTTTAGCTTTGATCGTTTCATCTCCTCCTTTCCTTTTCCATCCCACGTCCCTGTTTCCTACTACCTCCACTGACAGCGTCCTGCCCAGTTTTGGTGGCGTTCTCTGAATTGTCCTCCTACCTTTAAAAACTAGCTGCTCGTCTAGCGTCAAGTCGATTTCAATATCTACTGCCCTTTCCTTAGTTCTGTCCTCCCTTTCTGTCCTACTTTCAATTTGTTTTCCTTCCATATTCGTTCCCACGAGTCGGGTCGCAAACGGTCACCCTCGGGTTACGCCCATTCCGGCGGGGAAGGCATTCATACTGTGGGGTGCGCCAGGTGCCCCACAGGTTTTAACGAAACTCTCTCGGGTTTTTTTATAGAGGTTTACTCCTCGCAGGCCAACCGGTGAAGGCAAGCCCCCCGGCCCCGAGTCCCACACAACATGCATCGCGGTGCCATTTTTTTCTTTTCCGCGGTGGTCTTTGGGGTGTGGCCCAGGGGTACGGTGTTAGTCGGGTTTGTGGCACAGCAGCCCGTGACTCGGATTAACCTCGGGTGCTTCAGTTCCCGTACTGCCTACCTTTCGGTGGCAGATCCTGAGGTTGAGCTGTCCTTTGTTTTCATCGCTCCCTCTCAGCCTGTTCGGCATGGGTAGCCCTACCAGGGGTCACTTGCAAGACCCCCGCCGACATAGCCTGAGAGATCATAGTGACTACTTAAGCCCCTCCACCACGACAAGGTCTCACAGCTCCTTGGAGGGGAACCTAACCTTTTTTTTTCGCTGATGGTGACGACTTCATACTGGTGTGGAAAGTATAGTTTTAATAGAGGAAAATAGGGGAAACCTTCAAAAGGGTCCCTGCGCGAAGACTTTCCATTGCGCAGGGGACTGTGGGATTCTTACACACTAAAACCCCTCCTCTGTCTTTCAGAAAACGGCCTTGTAGAGCCGGGAACACTCAGCAAAGAGCTTGCATCGGCAACGCTGGCCGTTTTGATTTTATTCTATTGTGTTCTCTCATCTCCCTCCTTTTTGATCATAATGTCGCTTAAGTCCCTGCTAATAACTCTCCATTTCCGTTCGCTTTCCAGCATCTGCTTCACCATGTTATCCTTTGTTATCTCAGTCCCGATCTCCAACTCAAGTTCTAGGCGTATGTTCTGCCATCTTACGCATCTAAACAGGGTATGTTCCGGCGTATCTTCTTCGTGACAGTAGATACAAAGATCGTCCTCTGCCTTGCCTATTCTGTTCGTATACTTTCTGAAAGACCCGTGACCCGTCAGCGCTTGAGTGACATGATACCCTGTATAACCATGCTTCCTGTCCGTCCAAGGTCTTACGTCAGGGATAAGTGTTCTTGTCCATGACCCCTTCTCTCCATTGCTCCACTCTCGCTGCCACTGTTCCAGGGTCCTCCTCCTAGCTTCCCTAGCTAATCCTGCATGATTTCCCTCCTCGCAAAACAAACGTTTCCTCTCCTCTGCCATGAGGTGTGCTGGTATAATGCCTGCTACCACCAAGATGGCTTCCGTGGACACAGTCCGATACCCGCGCACCACTCTAAGAGCAATCTTCCTCTGTGTGCTCAACATCCTATTCTTGTGTCTATCTATTCGCATGGCGTCAGCCCACACAGGAGCCGCGTACAAAAGTACAGAGTTTACCACTCCTGACAGTACTCTCCTTTTGTCTTCCCTGGGCCCCCCAATGTTAGGTAACAGTCGGGTCAGAGCTGCGATGTTCCTCTCAGCCTTTATACAGGTCTCCTCAACATGGCTCCGAATGTTAGCGACTTATCAATTACAATCCCTAGGTATTTTACCTGGTTCTGAATGTTTATTGTGGCCTGTCCCAGCCTAAATTTAATCTCTTTCTTTGGTCGCCTCATACCTGACATGGCGATAGCTTCGGTTTTTTTCGGAGCAGGTGCTAATTCATTTTCTTGCATCCAACCCTCCACTCTTCGTAGCGTTTCATTTCCGCACTCCACCAGCCCTTCTTCCGTGGGATTTACAACTAACGCCACCAGGTCATCGGCGTAGGCTGTGAGTCGGGTACCCCCTGGCATGTCTATGCTCAGGACGCCATCATAAAGGACATTCCATAGCGTGGGGCCCAAGATGGACCCCTGTGGGACTCTCATGCTTATGTCGAACTTGTTTTCCTTGTCCACCTCCACCGTCCTGTCTTTAAGGTAGTCTTCTATGACCCTTCTTATCTGTCCAGCGATTCCTCTCTCCTCCAGATTACGGATAATAATGCGCCAACTCGCAGAGTTAAAGGCATTCCTCACATCGAGCAATATAAGAGCACACCAGTTATCTCTTTCCTTTCTCTTTTTAATGCGTCTACAATGCCTTTGGCAGCTCCAGTTGAGGACCTGCCTTTTATGAAGCCATACTGACTGTCGTTTAACGCGCCACTACGCTCAATCTCCACGTTCAATCTAGCCAGTATTATTGCTTCGTATAATTTGCCCATTACATCAATTAGGCAGATTGGCCTACACCCTCCTGGATCCTCTGGGCGTTTTCCTGGCTTAGGAACCAGTATCAACCTCGAGTTTTTCCATTTTTTAGGGAAAATACCTAACTCATATACCCTATTCAACACCTCCAGGCAGGCATTTGCATGTTCTTTAACCAGAAGCTTCACTGCCTCTGGTGGGATACCGTCAGGGCCGGGCGCCTTCCCTGGTTTCAGTCTGTCCGCAGCAGCCAAAATTTCCTCCAACTCTATCTTGTCGCATGTTTCGCATACCACCTCTGTTCTCTCCCAGACATGAGCGTCAGCAGGAAACAATCTCCTTGCGATCTCCATCTTGCGTCCACTATCTAGATCGATCTTCGGAGCCCGTATTCTCAGTCCGTTCCTCACTATCTTATAGCCCAGGCCCCAGATGTCGCTGTCAACGTCCATACATAAGTTCTTCCAGCATTCTCTTTTCTGGTTACGTATGAGTCCTCTTAGGACTCTCTTCTTTTCCCTGTAGACTTCTTTTAGTCTGGTTAATTCTTCCACGTTCCCCTGGACTCGCGCAGCCAATCTACACACTTGCCTTCTAACCTGGAGCGAGGCTTTTCTTGCTTCCTCGATCTCAAGAGTCCACCAGTATACGTCATCCTGTCCGTGTTCTAGTCTTACTCTCGGGGTGGCTCCCTTGCAGGCTTTCCTTACTCTGTACATAAGCGTTTTAATGTCGAGAGTCTGTCGGTTTCTTAGCTCTTCATTCAAAAGCCTTGTAAAGGTTTTCCCGTCTAGCTTGCCGTTTTTCCATCTCCTTCCGTTGTTATCCCGAACGGCGCGGCCGACACTGAACGCAATGTAATTATGCAGGCTGGCAGTCTCCTCATCAAGGACCCGCCAGTCACGGATCGTTCGTGAGATCTCCTCTGAGGCCATTGTGACGTCTATGTGAGATTGACTAGCACCTCTAGTGAATGTTGGTTTATCACCCGCGTTCATGATGGCGAATGATCTGCTGTGGATCCAATCTACAAGATTTTTTCCCCTTCGGTCTTCGTGAGGAGACCCCCACATCGGTGACTTGGAATTAAAGTCACCTCCTATTAGCACCCTGGTGCCTTTCGTGTCCACCTCGTTTCCCAGTTCCTGCAGAAATGAGTCAAAGCATTGTGCCGACGAATTTGGAGAAATGTACACACTGTATATGTATATACGTCTCCCCAGCTTTGATCCAGGCAAAACCTCTACCTCTCCCACACTGGGAGATCTTCACGTTGTTATTTAGCACTATCACGCCAGCATCCTCGCACTCATCTACATACCAGTGCTCATTTCTTGATTTCATTCTACTAGGTTCGCTGATCAACACAATCTCTGCTTTTAAATTCCGCGCGGTTTGGAACACCAAGTCTTGAGCAACTCTTCTCCTATCAATGTTGATCTGCAAGACTCTCAACATCTTCAAATATGATTTCACAACACGTACACAACAAACAGGCAAATCCAAGATATCACAGACTACTACTAGAAATAATCAGATATATCACAGTTTTTAATCCCGCTTATCAGCCGAATTTATCACAGATTAGCTTAGTTAACTTCCTTTGTGTCAGGTAGGTTTACGTTTCTGTTTGCTTCCTTTCGCTTTTAATCTTGCCTTGCTCAGGGCCTTCCTAAACTCCGGGCATCTGCCGCTGCCCGCCTTATGTCCTTTGCGTTTGCAGTTTATGCATGTCGCTATATCCTCTCCACAGTCCTTAGCCTTGTGCCCTTCTTTCCCGCATTTTCTGCATAACTCGGGTTGGTTTAGTTCAACCCCGCTCGTGTTCATCCGGTGTCCGAAGTTCCAGCACCGGTAGCACTGCATGACCTCCAATCTTTCAACCACGGGCCACCTATTTAGGCCAACCCTGATCCGCCCCTTGCTTAATAGCACATCTGCCTCAGTTCTATCTAGCCTGACTGAGACCGCCATGTTTCCCCCGAAATACGGCCTCAGCTCGCCGACTTCGCAGTTTCTCCGATCAGCGCCTTCCATACCCGTCTCGCTGCAGACACAGCATGGGTAAACCTAACCTACTAAAACCCCTCGCCTCGTTACCCTCTGCAACACGTGGTATCCGGCGTGAGCCGTTTCATCTCGGGTTGAAGACGGTTTTACTCGGCCTCCCTCTCCCGCCTTCTCAGGTCTTGCTCCTTTAAGGTCATGATCTTCTCTACCGCGCCCATAATACCCCTCCAGTCCCTTTCGGTTCTCGTGGCCAGGCCAATCCAATTTTCTGGAGTTACCTCCTGTCCTGCCGTCTCGCTCATCTCCGCTCTCAGGGCCTCCCATCTCCCGCATGAAAACACCGTGTGCTCCACCGTGTCGACCCTGTCGCAATACAGGCATCCAACCTGCTCCCACTTCCCTATGCGCTTCAAATATGACCCAAAGTTTCCATGCCCAGTCAACGCTTGGCAAATTTGATATGTCACTTCTCCTTTACTCCTATCCGCCCAAATCCTGATGTTAGGGATAATCCTCTTCGTCCATGCCGACCTTCCGTAATTCTGCCACCTCTGTTGCCACGTATCGTGGGCCGTACCACGAGCCCTTACCTTTGCCTCCTTCATGTTAGTCCCAGTTTGTACGAGTCGTCGTATCATCGCTCTCTCCTCTATCTTTAAATCGATTGGTATTACACCTGCTATGACGCTCGCCGCGTTAGTCGAGACAGGCCTGTATGCATGCGCAATCCTCAAAAGCATCCTTCTCTGTGTTCTTATCACCCTGTCTCTGTGCAGCTTTACTTTCATGGCTCCCGCCCATACGCTTGCAGCATACAAAATTATGCTGTCAACCACCCCTGCCATCACCATCATCTTCTTCTGCCCTGGCCCACCTATATTAGGCATAAGTTTCGCCAAGGCAGCGGCCGTATTATCGGCCTTTTCGCATACCTTCCTGACATGCGCCCCAAAAGTTTGTCCACTATCTATTACTACTCCTAAATACTTTACCTCCTTCTTGAGTGTTATCTCCTTGCCTGCCAACTTAAAATTCAGACCTCTCGCCCTCCTCATTCCAGTCAGAAGCACCACCTCCGTCTTCTCTGCTGCAAGCTCCAAAGAATGCTGTCATCCAGTCTGCCACCGCCCTCATGACTCTGTTGCCATTTGCTTCCAGATCTTTGTTGCTGACTCCTGAAACAACTGCCGCCAGGTCGTCGGCGTAAGCTACTAACTTAGCTGTCTCCTCTGTAACCACTTCTAGCACTCCGTCGTACAGAATATTCCACAGAGTGGGGCCAAGTATTGACCCCTGTGGAACGCCCATGTATATTTCCATCTCTCTACTATCAGTGCAGACCTTCCCCCGGTGAAGGTAGGAGGCCACCAGATTCACGAGGTGTCTGTTCATGCCCCTCCTTTGTAAAATGCCAAGAATCGTGGCCCAATCTGCCGTGTTAAACGCGTTCTTTACATCAAACAGTATCAATGCACACCATTGATTTCGCCTGTTAACCGATCTAACTTCTTCCATCACCTCCATGAGCGCGTCGATTGTCGATCTTCCACGCCGAAAACCGTACTGTTGTTGATGCAACCCCCCACATCTGTCAAGATCCTCCCTTACCCTCTGCAAGATGATTCCTTCGTACAGCTTTGCGAGACTGTCTATCAGACATATAGGTCTGTAAGACGACGACAGCCCATGTTCCCTCCCCGGCTTGGGAAGGAGTACAAGTTTTGCTGTCTTCCATACTGCTGGAAAATCCCCACCTCTGAACAACTCATCCATCAGTTTGACTGCCACATCACATCTCTCCTCAACCAAAGCCTTAACCACTTCATTAGGTATGCCATCTGGACCTGGAGCCTTTTTGTTTTTCAGCCTCTGCGCCGCCTCCTTAACCTCCTCTTCCGTTATCCTGTGGGTCTCTTCTCCGTCCAGCTGCAACCATGGTTCCTGTTGTTTCATTGGGAACAATGCCCTAGCAATTTCTCTCCTTTTTTCCTTTCCAATGTCCACCCTAGATGGCTTTATCTTAAGAGCGTTTCTCATTATTTGAAAACCTTCACCCCATATGTCATCATCTAAATCTTTTAACAGCTTCTGCCAGCACCTGTCCTGCTTCTTGATGCTCTTTTTGTATGCATTTTTCAAATGTCTGTATTCCTCATCCTTTCTTTCCATCTCCTCCGGACCCAAAATTCCTCTCTATCTCTCTGCACGCGCCTTCTAGCAGCGTTTAACATAGCTTTCTCTTCTGCCAGCTCCGGCGTCCACCAGTATACCGGGTTTCCTCCCACCGTACTTATGTTGACCGCCGTATTCCGAGCAATTTCTTTCAACTCCGCAACCACGTTTTCCACAGACACCAGCTCCCCATTAAATATCGCATTTTCCCTAAGAAGACGCCTACACTCATCCATCCTCCACCCCCCCGAGGACCAGCCCCTCTGTCTGTTTTTTCCCCTTATATTTCACCGTGAAGAAAATGTATCGATGGAGGCTAAAAGTTTCTTCGTCTAGAACCTCCCAGTTTTCCACGCTTGAGCTAACACTCTCCCCAGCCATCGTGATATCTATGAAAGAGACACTAGCCCCTCTTTGAAAAGTGGGGGTATTGCCCTTGTTTGAAATTATAATTTCGTTTACCATCGCCCATTCTAGCAGCGTCGCTCCTCTGTCGTCTTCGACCTGGGAACCCCACACCGGAGATTTAGCATTAAAATCCCCACCCAGAAGTATCTTCCCTCCTTTGGTCCTCACGTCCTCCTCTAAATCCTGGAGAAACTTCTAGAAGATGTCCCTACGGACGTTTGGCGATATACAGGGTGTTTCATAATATATGAGCAGGACTTCAGGATGTAATAGCTCGTCCAAAAATTTGAAAAAAAGTTTGTATTAACTTACCCTCTAAAATGCACAATTTTCGAGATACAGGGTGTTGAAATTGTAAAAAAAATTTCGTTTTTTGCGAATATCTCCGGAACCGTTTATCGTACAGAAAACAGCTTTTGTAAGCATTTACTACTCATAATAAGCTATGTTCTGTGCGAGAAAAATTTTTTTTCAAAGTCATAATTGGTGAAGATTTTGAAGGGGAAGTGGGTGTTTTTCTCCCCAACTTCTACGCCACTGGAAAAAGTACGGTTTTGAGACGCCCATTTGAACCGCCAATGTTTTCTACACAAAAAAAGTACTCTTGGTCATAAGCTCTAAAGTTGACCGTTTTCGAGAAAAATCTACTTTTATGTTGAAAAACATGGTCAATTTTTTTAAATAAAATTTTTTTACTAATTAAACAAAATTTATTTAATCGTTAGAACAAGTAACAAAACCAAACGTTAACTTCATAGTTGCAAAATTAAAAAAAAACAAATCGTACACAGTTAAATTAAATGTTGGAAATGTCCTCCGTTAGCTTCAATGCACGCAGCAATTCTTCGACGCATTGACTGTCTAACACGCAAGAAAATTTCCGGAGTGTTCCGAATTATGTCGCAAGATGCAACAATGCGTTCTCTTAATTGATCAACATTTTCAACTGGAGTAGCGTAGACTAGGGTTTTGAGATGGCCCCAAAAGAAAAAATCTAAACAATTAAGTTCGGGAGATCGCGGGGGCCAAGGGTGGGGACCTCCTCGACCGATCCAACGGTCTTGGTATTCGTCGTCCAAGTATTGGCGAGCAACCAAACTAAAGTGGGCCGGAGCTCCATCATGCATAAAGTACATGTTTTCTCTTACTTGAAGCGGTACATCTTCCAGCAGTTCCGGCAGTACTTCTTCTAGAAATTGTCGATAATCTGCACCGTTTAATCTGTTCGGTAAAAAATGTGGGCCTATCAAATGATCACCGACGATGCCAGCCCAAACATTCACGGAAAATTGTTGCTGATGATTGCCTTCTGCAATTTCATGTGGATTTTCTTCAGCCCATATGTGGTTATTGTGAAAATTGAAAATACCATCTCTCGAGAAAGATGCTTCATCGGTAAACATAACTTCGGCTCCAAACTGAGGATTTTGAGCTATTTTGTCTTGCATCCATCTACAAAAAGCCAATCTTGGCGGAAAATCTCTTGGCAATAAGGCTTGTACTCTTTGGATATGGTAGGGATACAAAAGTTGTCTTTTCAAAATTCTCCAAACCGTCGAGTGAGGTATGTTTAAGTTGTGAGCAATTTTTCTGGTACTTGTGATCGGATTTTCTTCAATTTCGTTGAGGACAGCCTCTTCTACTTGGGCATTTGCAGCTTCCATAGGCCGCCCATTATCAGCAGTATTCTTTTTAAAACTTCCATTTTCCCATAGTCGTTGGTGAATGCGTCGAAACAAGTTATGATGTGGTACTTGGCGATCACGATGTCTTTCTTGGTACAACCGCCTTGCTTCTGCCGAATTACCGCTCGCCATTCCGTAAAGGTAATGCATTTCGCACATTTCAGCGTTTGTGTAATTCATTTTTACTTTTGTAATACAAATTGACTTTTCGCAGGTACAAACTAATTATTATTTTGACAGGAGGTAACTTTTGTTTTAAAATTTAAAGTCTACTTGATAAAAAAAATTATAATACATTTAAAAAATTTTATTTCAAAAAATTGACCCTGTATCCCTGTATCTCGAAAATTGTACATTTTAGAGGGTAAGTTAATACAAACTTTTTTTCAAATTTTTGGACGAGCTATCACATCCTGAAGTCCTGCGCATATATTATAAAACACCCTGTATAACAAGCATAAATGAAAAGCTCGTCTATCTTCACCCATACAAAACCTCTGCCCTTTCCCCAGGAGGTCACCTTCAGATTTCTGTTCCTCACAATAATGCAAGCATCACTCTCGCTGTCCACGTACCATCCGCTTTTACTCGCCAGAGCCCGGTTTGGTTCACTAACTAACACTATGTCAATTTCTCTCTCTTGTGTTGTTTGCGTGAGGTTGTCATGTGCAACTCTACACCTGTCCACGTTTATTTGTATGAAGCTTATCATAACCATTTTTAGGTCCTTTGCCCCCTTCTAGCACTCTCCACTTGAAAGGCTTCCCACCGGGCCTTACACTCACTGTCCCCTGCTCTGTGCCCATCCATCCTGCACAGCGGACATCGCGGGTTCGCGACGCAATCTTTTGCTAGATGGTCTGCCCCAGTGCACCTATAGCAGAGCTTGGCCCTGGTTTCGCCTTTACAGTTTCTGGACATATGACCATATTGCCAACAATTGAAACATCTAGTAAGTTCAATCCTCTCCCTGACTCTGCATAAAACTATACCCACTCTAATCCTTTCCATATCCAGGAGTTTTTTTGCATCTCTCTGCCATGCTTCCACTACCGAGAGCCTCCGCAAGATTTCCCTCTTTTTCCTCTGGAACATCTATTTTCATCACTCTCTGTGTGGCAACAGGACATTCGCCACTTTTCCTTACTTTCCTAACTGTGTTTTCTATAATCGACAGTGGTCCCTCGCTCTCATCATTTTCCTCAAACAGATCCTGACATTTCTCCATTATAAACTTCTTCCATGCGTTATCTCTTCCTCTATCGTTATTTATTAGCAGGATATTTTTCCCTCCATCCACGAAAGGATTTCCCTGTTTAATTACCGTCTTTGTATACGCTTCCTTCGGCTATTTATATTCTATGACCTCCTTCTGCTCCTCCTCCGTCCTGGCTTCCGTCAATCTCAGTTTTATCATGTCCACCAACTCCTGCTGCAGTTGCTGCCGACCACTAGAGCCCACTTGGACACCTGCATCTGTCCTAATAATATTCTCAGTCTGTGTCTCCGTCTCGATGGTCAGAACATCCTTTGTCGACGCTACCACTGCTTTGTTTGTCCTGCCTAAAGTTTGAAGAACCTCCTTTGCCTTGTCCGTGGCCAGCTTACTGACTAATGACCTC